ACAGACATTTCTCAGACAAAGAAGTAAAAGCAGCAAGTAAATATATGAAAAAATGCTCCACATCACTGGTCATTTGAGAGATGCAGATGAAAACAACACTGAGATTCCACCTCACCCCACAAAGAATGGCTGCTATCAAGAAATCAAACAACAACAAATGTTGGCGGGGTTGTGGGGAGAAAGGAACACTTCTCCATTGTTGGTGGGAGTGCAGACTGGTACAACCACAGTGGAAATCAATATGGAGATACCTCAAAGAGCTTGGACTGGAGGTTCCATTTGGGTATCTTTCCAAAAGAATTAAAAGAATCATATCACAGTGATGTATGTGCACCCATGTTTAAAGTGGCACAGTTTGTAATAGCTAAAACTTGGAAACAGCCCATTTGCCCATCAGTTGGAGACTGGATAAAGAAGATGTGGTTTTTCTATGAAATGGAATACTACTCAGCCATAAAGAATGAGAAAACAGATTCATTCATAGGAAAGTGTATAAATATTGAAGATATACTCCTAAGTGAAATAAATAAGTCACACATGTGTAAATACCGAATAGTTTCTCTGTTGTGAATAAACAGCAATAATACATAAGATCCTAATAAGATTACTGACATTGTGAAATGGGAAGAAAGGGGCTAAAGGTGTAGGGAAGGTGGGATGGGTAGGGGGAAGGGTAATAAGGGGAAAAAAAATGTGAGATAATGAAAACATGGAAATAAAGTGTTTGTAGATGGGGAGGGGAGGAGAGGGTGAAGGGAGGGCTGGGACAAGGGGAAAATATGAGAATCAAGACCTGTCATGTAGAGGTACAAGATCCCAACAATGAATGTAACTGTACTATATCCCTAAAACGTACCAATAAACTCAATTAAAGCTGGAAAAAAATTTAAAAAAATTTTAGTTCTTAAAAAATGTTTTAGAAAAGTTTAGTTAACTACTCTTATTTGTTTATTTAGTGAGTGTTGACTGATGCAGGTTTTTTGTTTTTGTTTTTGTTTGTTTGTGGTACCGGGGATTGAACTCGGGTCCTTGTGCTTGCAAGGAAGGCCACCGAACCACTGAGCTAATCCCCAGCCCGACTGATGCAGTTTTGAATCTGACCTTGTGACTGTTTTATTGTTAAAGTAATTCTCTCAACAGCACCCCCCACCTCGAAACTTAATTCAAATATGAGGCATTTTAATTTTTTTTTTTCATAGCTGAGAAAAACTGGCAAGTTTAACCAGCCTAAGCAGCCTTACCTTCACGGTGCCAGGAACTTTGAAACAATAAGTACAGTATCAGTAAGATTGTGTGAATCTTGTATCTTCTTACCGGCTAAAGAAGTCTCTGCATGTAGCACTTTCTGTATTAAAAAAAAACAAAAACTATTTAAACCAGGGATTTATTTCAGTGGTATCACGCCTGCTTACTAAGTTCAATCCATGGTACCAGAAAAATAATTATTTAGAAGATATGCTTTTAATTTCAATTTTTTATTTGGAATGACAACGTTTTATATTTGGTTTTTATATAAGTATGATATGTACATTATTATAAACACAGGCATGTGATCCTGTGTCATAGAGAATAATAAGTAGTATTAAATATCATACAGAAAAACGATGTAAAGGTCAGATCGTGATGGGGACCCGTAGGTGCAGCTGGGACGCGCCGTGTTCATCAGGAAGTCCTGTGCGCTTCCCAAAGAGAGCTCTGCAGTTCAGCCTCCGTCTTTCCAGCAGCCTGTGCAAAGAGGGAAGTGTGATCAAGCACATGAGTCACAGCATCAGTAAAGCAAAGCAGAAGGGCTGGCAGACGTGTGCTCAGTTTCTGAAGGCATTCACTTTGGTTGAATATTCTCACCTCAGCTTGTGCCAAAGCTTGAACTAAGTGACTATTTGGCCGGAACCAAAACACTTCTCTCTCCTCTAGAAAGCACACGGGTTAGACTTTGCGGGTGTGGATGTAGACGCAAGGGTTGAGATTTAATCAGCTTACTGAGAGTTTTTAAAATTATTTTTCATGCATGTTTAAACTGTATTCAGTTATATGTGGGAAGAATCTTACAGCTGGTACTAAACAATGAAATGAGGAAGAATAGAAGTTTAAAAATCAGATTTGAAGCCGTTACCAGCACAGAGGTAACAATGTAAAAAAGCCATGCCAAATATGAAGCAAGCAGTAAATTATTTTATATTTCTAAAACTTCAACCTATTCGAAGAGATTATGTAGAAATGGGGCCAATCTAAGGAATCTTGGGCTATCAGCTTTCTAGTACAATATGTGTGGCAGAGTCAGGATTTTATACTGAGGTTCTGGCTCTGATTTTGAGTGTCACTGTGACTTGCACCAAGTTATAGCTCTTTCCTGGCAAGATGAGAAGGTGTCAAAAGTAGTGGCTGCAAAGGGCAGGTAGGCGCTTTCGATGGTACCTCCACAGTGATCCTAATCCCAGAGGCAAAAGCAGGCCCAAAGAGCAAAATTGCCCTTGGTAAATACTCCTAGTAGATTACAGCCGGCCTAACCATGGAAACAGAAGAGGGCAGCAACGCTCTCCAGACAAATGGAGCAGGAGCGCTGCTTTCTTGTTTTTCCCTCACTGAACTCTCCACTAGGTGGCCATGACAAGAAGGCAAACGGAAAGGTACCGAGTGGATTATGAGAAAAAAAAATTATCCTTCTATTAAATATGAGAACAGCCTTTTGAAACACTATGCGCAGTTGGAATTTTTTTCTCTAGAAAACTTCTCATTCAAGTTGATTTTAGGCTTTCTGCACCCTAAGCTAATATACACAAAACAACACAAAACCAAAATTTTTGGTGAGGGCTGTGGGGAAGAATGCGGGAAGATTATTGTTTAAAAATGAGTTGTATTACTAAGAGTTTATTAAACTCAGATTTTCTTATTCGAATTTAGAATTAAAAATACTATAGCCAGTGTTGAAGACAGTAAGAATTATTATTTACTGACCTCCTACTATCTGCCAAGGATTGTATTTAAGTACTTTAAAAACATTAGTTCATTGAACTTGGACCAGACTCTTCCAAGAAATTCACCATTTGAAAATAAGCCTATTTAAAGTCCTCATTTCTGTGTTTTCCATGACCTTTTTCTTTTTCTGCTTGAGCCGTTTTAACAAAACCACAGTGAAGAAGAAATTAGATTTTCATGCTAGGCATAGTTTTGTGTGCAAACAGGGCCACAGTCTCTGTATTTATGACTTTTGCTCACATTTAGATGTCCAGCATTAATGCCACAAAGTATAATAATACACTTTGATTCACAGTATAGTCAAGGCTAAAAATGAAGCTGGGCTTTGGAGCAGTACAAAGTAGTGAACTCATTCATGCCGAAAAATAAATGACTGATAGTAATCAGAACAGAGGAGGGTTAAGGGCAGCCTGCACGCTTGACTGGGAAGCAGCTAAGGGTAATGAGATGAGGACAGGGCAGGCTAGGAGCCCAAGTACACAGCCTTCTTTCTTCTGGAACTAGCCTTATTGTTTAGCATGCCATGCTTGGACATTGTCTTACCCAGCCACAGGTAACCCAGCGCAACGCATGTGCTTCCTGGGTGTGGCAGAGGTTTAGTGCACTTTGGCTCCTGTAGAGATGAACACTGAACAGAGACTCTTCAACAACAGTTATTCCAAGTGGTGTCTCAGAGGTGCTCGCTGTGAGAGTGGGCTTCCCTCAAGAGGACCCCAAATTCTTCATTTCTCCTCTAGTTTGGAGATTCAAATCAACCATAGAGGAAACAAGAAATAAGACGTCAGGGACTGCAAAGCAGATTAAGACTCTTTTTCTGCACAATGATTTTATTGTCCAGTGAAGCTTCACTTTAATGTATTTTATTTCCAATACAGTTTAAGAGAAATACACACATGATATGGCAAAATCAAGAAACAGCAGCGTACTTTAGGCTAACAAAGGTGCTCTTTGGTTTTATGCGCAGGACAGCTGTAGGGTGTGGTATCTACTAAGGAAGAGAAAGGAACGGCAGTGAGGGCCTCTGGGAAGGGTGTTTTAGGACAAAGGGAAGAGAAATAGCTTGATGATCTGTATCCAGAACCCTGACCCAGTTATCTGCAGACAACCTGACATCAACTCAGGATGCCAATGAGCTAACATACATCAGGAATAGTAGTTATGTCCCAGGAGGCTAGCATTGTTCTCATGTTTCTTATCTAGCCTCAGCCAGCTCTATTGGTAAGTAGGATCATGCTTTGTTGGGGTCCAATCGTTAATAAATTTCACGGTCGGGATTCAAACCCGTTCTTTTGGCAGTGCCTCATGGTTTTCTAGGGCCCTCCAGCTGGGCTGTGGCTGGAGACATTCTCACTGACCACTGTCTGAGGTCACACTAGACCATTTGGATCACTTAGTAAGCACAACTGGATCAGAATGTAATTAACCATATCACTATGACCTGTCCAAGTTTAGTACTGCTAAAATTGCTCCACTAAGGGTATGATAAAAGATACTGAGAAAATGCAAATAGAGTTGAGCAACTTCTCCCAACACTTTTTTTTTTTTTCCTTTCTGGCTTAACAATAAAGGAAGATAAAACAGAGAATATATCCAAACCAACTGACAGCACCACTGAAAGCTTTTAGCTTGTTTGCCTGGTACTTGGTCCCCAAATGAACTGCTCAGTCTTGCTTAGTGCCTTCAGGTGGGAGGTCTGGAGAGGAGCTAATGGTGTCTTTAAAGCAAGGTGAATATGGTTTAAGTATTAAGACAAAGCTGCTGATAATCACTGATGCTTTTTTTCTCCTCTATAAAGACAGTTGGTTTTTCTTGTCTAGTGGCTTTTCTTTGGTCATGATCTTCAGAATTGTTGCTTCCCAAAGGAAGGCCGAAATTCCTACACAGGCTTCAGAGACCAAAGCCGGGCATATCACAAGCAACGGTGACTTTCTATGGGACAATTACATTTAGTTGCACATGCACACTGCACGAACACTTTTTTCTTTCAAATATTTATAAAATTTGTTTTAAAAAGTGAAGGTGGCTCTCTATGGCAGTTTTTAGGTGAACAAAGTGCTGATAGTCACTATGGTAACCAAGATTGAAGCAACAAGGAGTGAAATCAAACCCATGCGACATAATTTTGTCTTCTTGTCACGCTTCTTTTTTTTTTTCAATAAGGTATCGAAACCCGGCGTGTACATGTCTCCCAACCAAAACCGCAGGTCACTGGGATTTTCCTGAAAGAAAATTACATAGAGAATATGGTGCCATCAATCGGTGATCAGTGTTACAAACTGAGACTGGAAAACAAGATAGCGTCAGACATCCTGAAGGTCCACATTCAAACTGTTCTGGGTGAGGCTTACACATCACAGCTGCAAAAAGAGAGGCCAGGCATCTCTGAATGCATGGGGCTGTGCTGTGGCGGTGCCTGGCTGCCAGGGGATCTGTGCAGTTAATGTGCAAGTCTGCGCCAGAATCTGTCACGAGGCCTGCACAAATTCCTCATTAAATAGGTCACATCGGAAGGTCAGAAACAGCACAGTGACTCTGTCATCTTTCAGCCAGATTTGTATTTCTTACATCTTATAAATACTGCGTGTAAATCAGGTTAGTGAGCTGAAATAGAATTAAAATTCCTCGCCTTAGATGAACCTTAGAGGTTTGATTTTTGTCTGCGTGGCAGGAATACGCATGTTTAGTGAGTTTTCCAGTAAATCCAGAAGCTGAATTTTAGGAAGGCAGAATGAGACTAGGTGTCAAGAGTCCCTTCCACGTGTCTCAAATTCCTGGTCTTCCTGGTGGAGGGCTGTGGCATGTCTGCCATCTGAGACTCTGGCCCTGTTTGACCTCTTTAAAGAAAAGACCTAATATGTCCCCCACATCAACAACTGTGTTCCACGTCTCGTGTCATGGGCCTCATTTTCCTTTCAGTGCTAATTGCCATCATGTCAGTATTCTCTCCTACGAAGCATTTCCAAACTCTACTGTCATGTAAGATAAGACAGTTCCTCTTTTATCATTACATGCTGTGTTTCAGTGCTTCAGTGTCTACGGCCAGCATTTGGTAGGTGTACCAGAAATGTACAGGAAATGCTGAACTGCGATTGACACAAAGATGTTTCGGGCCTCATTATTCCTCAGCTGGATGATGCAAGGGCTTGAAGGAGGCTGCCCACTGTCTCTAGTCGAAGTAGACTCAGCATCAGCTGCAAGGGTGGTGCAGCCCCTTTCCATGGCTGTCAGCCTCAAGAGTCACTGCGGTAGCTTCAGAGTTATAGATGCACTGGTACTGGGAGGAATGTGCATGCTCGCAAGGAGCTATGGTGGATTTTCCAAGGCTGGCATATGCCTCCCATTGTAGTGGTTGAAGCTTGAACTTGCTAGTCATAGAAATGGTCAACTATTGCAATAAAATTTGGATGGCTTGCGCAGAAGGATTTAAAAATCATTGTCTACCTTACTCTCGTCTTTTCATCTTGCTTGTGTCCAAATCAGAGGCCCACATTTTGCCTACAAGTTCAAAGCTTTTATTTTCCATGAAAAAAAAATTAATAATGGAATCTTTCATCTCTTACATTCTGCTTCTAGCTCATGTTGCTAATTAAGTATAGGACTTCCCTTTTCTGACTAAAAATCTTAACAGTTTATAAAAATAAGAACAGAGTGAGGCATCTAGAACATTTGTCATCTGTAAGTTATATCAACATTTCTGAAAATATGTTAGGAAATATGTTTACTAATTATGAGATAAAGATAGAAGTGGTGATAGAGAAGTTGAATTCATGAGGTATACAGCAAAGTTCTAACGACAACAGAAGTCCTGGGTTCTAGAAGTTTATCTTCATTACCGCTTCCCTCAGAAGTCAATGAACAAGCCACAGGCCTGAAGGTCCTGGGCTTTGACACAAATGAGTGTGAACACAGAGGATTGGGTAGGGTACAAGACAGACATTGGTTTCAGTAATATAATACATCCATCAGAGTTAGATTCTGTCTTCCTAAAAATACTGTTAAGCCTAAAAAAATAATTCTTCAATTTCCTTAGCCTAACTTTGAAACTTGTTTTTTTTTTTTTTTAGCTTTTGAAAATTAAACTCATTTTTAAACCCAAACATAAAAACTATAATGTTTTAATCAGGTTAAGCATATCTGCGCCCTCAAACATGTCATGTCTTAGTGGTGAGAGCATTCAAAATTTTTTCTCCTAGCTTTGTGAAATGCGCAGTATGGTACCTTCATCTGTCATCACCCTGCTGCATAATGACACAACATTGATGCTTCTTCCAAACGCACCTCAGGATCCACTGATCATTCTTCCCTGTCACCCACTCTCACACTTTTTTTTTTGTAGATTCTGTAGCCTTCCCTCCCACTATTCCTAAACTGTTGAATCTACCAAAACTGTGCTGAATGTTTTGACAAATTTTCTCACTTTCCTGCAGCTCTACCTTTGCTCTTGCTGTGCAAGCCAGAAGAATCTTTCCACTTTGGCAAACCTTCTACATCTCGCAGATCCTTCAACCTCACTATGAATTAACTTTGTCATGAAGAAGACTTTTTATAATCAGACGTGACTTCCCCCTTTCAAATGTTCCCAATTCAAATCTTCTGCTATAGTTACAGCCATGCTCCTATATCTGCTTCCATAATTAGTGTTGCTAATTTGCTTATTTAGATTAAATTTTTGAAGGCAAGGACATAATGTTTACTCATACAGTATTCTTGTCATGCACATAAACAGCAAAGGCAAGGGAAGATTCCCTAGAAATATGTTGCCAAATGATGTTTGAATATGTGGGAAGTAAAGCAATACAATTTATTTTTTCAAATGCTAGTCTTAGAAGTCTTGATCGTAAACCTCCTGACAAGACAGAGAAGATAAAAGAAAGAAAAAGAAAAAAGGGAGGGAAAGAGGAAAGAAAGGAAAATAAAACAGGATAATTGGGTCATTGTTTCTTTCAGGAGCATCTGTTTTGTAAACCTCTTGAAAAGGCACTACAGTAAGAAGAAAATACATTCAAAGCACTAGATTTCAAAAAATCTATTATATACTATAGAATATTTTTGTTTGTTTTGGGGGTTTTTTGTTTGTTTTTTGGGGGGTACTAGGGATCAAACTCAGGACCTTGCAATTTCTAGACAGGCACAGCACCCCTTAGATAAATCCTCAGCCCAACACTATAGAATATTTTGAGGTGTGAACATTTGAGATTTTTCAAAAGCATATGTAGAATTTGAAGGAAATGGTATTATCCCATTCCAAAGAAAAAAGTCTGCAGGTGCTGAAAGAATGAAACTTGGAACAGATGCATGTTTTAAAATGAAGGGTACTTGGAAAATGTCAGACTCCTTGGCCCAAGGCGAGGCAAGTGGAGGCAAGCCAAGGCTGGTTAAGAAAACAGAATGCCTCCCTCCTCCTACAGGGGAGGAAAACAAAAAAAAAAAAAAAAAAAAAAAAAAAAAAAAAAAAAAAAAAAAAAAAAAACTCCCCCCCCAAGGGACAAAAAAAAAAAAAAAAAAAAAAAAAAAAAAGGAAAGAAAAGAAAGAAAAACTTAAGTTGGGCTTAAGCTGGGTGAATGAGTTCATTGCATATTTTTCCTGTGTTGAAATGTTTTTGTTTTGTTTTGTTACTGAGACACAGAAAAATGACCAAAACGTCAATCTGTGATCTTAAATCACTGAGTAGGCTTGATATAAAATTATCTTGTTAAGCACTTCCTTGCACAGTTCCTAAAACAGAGGACTGTTTTATATTTTAGTTTTTTAAAAGATGTATAGTAAGAAATCAGTCCTCAAGTGTTCATGAACATAAATGCTTACCTACTCTGGGAAAACATGTAATCTTGCAAATGAGTTGTGAAAAACCTTTGCCCAGAAAATCTTTATTCTGTGCCACATCATTTGATCCCTTTATATATCAAATAAACAGGAGGGAGAAAGTTAAACCAAGGGCCAAATACGACCTGAAATCTGGAGATTGTGTGTCTAATGAAAAGGGTCTCTCATTGTCTCAGTAACGCTCTGTTTTAGGGTTACCTAACTGACCTCCCTCACTAACTACAAGGGTGATTCTGTCTTAAGTACCTTTAGATGTCCAGAGAGGTTTGTGTGCAAGGAATGCCTGTCATATTCCTCAATAGTCCACGAAGGATTTTTTTTTCTTTCTTCCATAGCTTCTTCCAAACTTATGTCACCATAGAGCGGGTTATTCTTCATAACTGAGGACATAGATGGCAGAGGGCCATCAGCAACTGCAGAGGACTCCCCACTGGACCCCTTGGTTCGCTGGGCAGCAATATTCTTCTTTTCTCTCTGTCAAGAAGCAAAGAGATAAACCATCTGTTACCAATGGATCTTCTGATGATAAAGGGTACAACATAGGATAAATGTTGGAAAATTGTTGATTTGGCCTAGATCGCCAACTGATTAGGATCATGAATGAGAAAATTCTCGACTTTGACCTAGAATCCTACCATTAATTGATAATTTCTTTGCATATCATCCTTTTCTATTTTAATACTCATTTCAATGCTCTTATTTTATAACTACAGAGAAGTAGTTTAGTTTATCTAACAGAATTCTGAACAAGACCCATTTCCCCAGCTTACTTGCGTTGTGATTTGATGCCATTTTCCTTCTCTCTGTTTATTCCATGACTGATAAAAATAATGTTTAACATTACATAATATTTAATACACAACACAGCAAAGTCAAGATTAAGAGATGTTTAACAACTATGCCTTGGCTTTGTACAAATACTCTCTGCTCCTATTTCAGAGAGCTTTGTAGACTGGGCTAACTTAACATCAGATTATTCCATGTGTCTATTGCCTATTGGATGGCTGAAATTTTAAAAATGTTTCCATTGAACCAAAATCATAATATCCACACAGAAATGTGCACATGACAAATAATATGCACACAGAAATGTGCACATGACGAATGCATTGCCCAAACTATTTTCATAAACCAAATGAACACAATATTCTATATCCCGGCCACAGAACGAGACATTTGCAAGGAGCCTTGCACTCCCTCCAGTTTCTTCCCACCCCTCATCCAAAGTAGCCAGTGTCTCAGATTCCAACAGTAGAGGTTAAGTTGGACTCTCTTGCTGTTTTATGTAAATGGATTTAGACTATGCCTACTTTGGTGTATCTAGTTTGACCTTCAGAATTTCACCTTGCTTTTATTTTTCTCTTAGGACTATGAAGAATGAAAACTAAGACCATGTAAAGGTACAAGATCCCAATAATGAATGTAACTGTACTGTATACCTAAAATGTACCAGTAAACTCAATTAAAAAAAAAGATAGGCACTTGTTAAATTAAAATGTTTGCTGACCAAGCATAAATTGAGATAAAATAAAAACAAAGAGCTTAGAAAGTAACATTTTATTATCACAGAGCATCAATGGGGAGAAATTGAGCATTAGTTATTTTAGGGTCACACAGCTTTAACTTTTAAAAACTGGTGATTTGTTTTCTTAACACTTTTAATAACACTTTCACACACTATAGCCTTCCTAAAGAGAAAGTTTAGTAAGAATTGTATTCCTCAGATCCGTGCCTATGACAATCAGTATGTTGATAACTGTAGCATCTATTGGGATGTATAGGTCACATTGAGTATATGCATATTTATATAAAATAAAGTTGTAATCAGGTATCGCATGTAGTTTCCTCCTGAAATGGGTGGTAGGTAAAATAAAAAGTCATCTAGATAAAACCTTTCACATCCTCTTTGGCGTCAGGTTTCTTAATCCTTGCATTTTTCACATTCTTGCAGATCCACTTGGAGATCCTCTCTGACTTTACTAGTTTCTTGGTCTATTCAAAGTCAGTTTATATTCTACAATACCAAAATGTGCAAAAAATAATAAATCTTCTTGACTTGGCATTTATTTTAAAACTGGGTGGCTTCATAAATAATGTATCTGAATTGAACAAAGAAAATTTGATAAGAAATTTAGATTGTTTGATCTCAGCATAATTCTGACTCATTTCTTCAAGCCTAGACATCTTTGATCATTTTTAAAGTGGGATAATTCTTCTGACATTGACAAATTGCCTTTATCAGGTTACGTGCACACTAGACTGTTCCCTGAGTTTCTTCTTAAATAAGAAAGCTGTGTACATGAAGAAAATAGAGTTTGAGACAATGAGAAAATACAATTTCAATGAATAAAATGAAGTTTAAAATTTACAGACACTTTGACTATATATAGACTTAGAAAACTAGTACATAAAAGAGCAAAATAGCTATATACTCTAAAAGAACACTCAAGCTCTATTTCTAAACAGTATTGTTTTGTGGTTTAGCATAGAACATGGCATCATTTATTTTTGTTCTGTATGCCAATTTTGTGTCTATAGGACATCCGAAACGAAATTTAATATTTATCTTTATTAAGAATTTGATGTAGGACCCGGCATTAGCTTAGTGGCTCTGTGCACAGACAGCATGTGTGAGGACCCGAGAGCTTTATCCCCAGCGCAGCAAGGAGAGATGGGAAGACAGAAGGCAGAGAAGGAAAGAGGGCGGGAGGAGGGAAAAGAAGAAAGAAGGGAGGAAGGAGAGAAGAAAGAAGTCATTTAATAGTAACGTGTATATGTAGGTGAGAAAACTTAACCAATGTGAGCATTCGCATACATATTTTCAAGAATCAGAGCATTAGTGCAATACGAGAAAGACGTGAGATCAGATAGAAGACTGCGCAGTTTATCAGGAATGAAGGAGTGGACTGATAATTTTAGGAATGTCATGCTTTCTAGGGTTAATCATTTGATTGTAGACTCCCAAATACTGAAACATAACATTATTTTAAGCAATAAAAAAGTGATGAGCACAAGTCCTAGCAAAATTTCTGAGCTGAAAGAAGTGACCCAAGGCAAAGATCTTGTTAGAGGTAATAATTTCATAACTGTTATTCCAGACAGCCTCTGGGGGTTGGGACAAAACCAAATGTTAGAGAAATTAAAGCAGAAAAGCAGAGAGATAAAAGCCATTTGACATCTATGTCTTCAAAAAACTTTCTGAATGTTTAATGACATTTAGAATTTATTGAGGCTAAATAGGTAGGAATTCCACTAATAATTTACTAAAGTTTTTAAAGGAATATATTTGCAAATACACCAGAAAATTACACCTAAAAACTTTTGATTATTTAAAATTTAAAAAATGTAAGAAATGACAATAACGCACCTGTGCTACCTTGGAGGAGGAGGGGGCACCCCCCAGGGAGAGGATCCAGGGTCTGTACGGGAGGAGGCATCAGCAAGTCCTCCCAAAGAGCGGAATCTGGGCCTGATCAGTTTTTTTACACCTTCAAGGAAGGAGGTCTATGTAAAATATTCCCAGCGGGATCTAAGAATTACTTTGGAGCAGTGACTACTCTGTCTCTCCTGTTTCCCATTCAGAAAGGAAGAAATTATTGTAGTGATCCTATCCTTGCTTCAGTGAAGAGTGTTGGATGATACAGGAAAAAAAATCTCCTCAGTGTAGCGACTGAGTGGCCTGTGTACTGGTTCTTCTGAGGACATGATGAATGTGTGCAGCGCATGAGAAGATGACCTTAAATATACACACGCAGTGTATACAGACATATGCATCTATAAGAGATGATATATAATGTATTCAATTTATCACCGTGTCTAAAAATATTATGTATATATTTAACTGAATACTAATAAAGCCTGCTTAGGTGATCAGCAAACCCATTTCTTCTTCACGGACACTCAGCAGTTGGACTGGGACATGTGACAGCTAAAACTCAGGCTTGACCATGAAACTCTCTGTCAGCATTCTAGGTTCCTCTCTCTTTTTCCCATCTACAAGCCTAAAAGACATTCTTATCTCAAGAAGACATGAGTTCCCCTTGGAAGTGAGCTCCAAGGCAGACATCATTTTATTGGGCTGATGTCACTGAGAAATTGTATATATTTGTTTCCACTGTATGATTCAGCCTAACTAACCACCAATGACAAAATTCTAAACATATATCGTACTCAATGTAAAAGCTTTGATGCATATAAAGGAGTTGCTAGAAAATGAATAAAAGTAGATCAGTAAAATATAATAATTTAAATTTGTATACATCTAGTAAAATAGTCCTAACACTTATAAAGCAAAGCTTGAAATAATTAGGAAAAATTCATATATATGTTTTTCAAGTATGTCAAACAACATTAAGGATAAATCGGATTTGGTCAATGAATCAATAGGTTTGATCAACTGACATATATAGAGATGTGTGCTACTATACAACTGAAAATACTTCATTTTGAAATTTGCACTGAGTATTTAAAAAATTAACAGTTTGTTAGATTTGAAAGAAAATCACGGAGACTAATTATGGTGGTACCTTGGTTCATGAACACTTTTGTTTGCAAACAATTTGGCAAAATTTTATTTTTCTTTACAGACTCTGCATCAAGTGACAAACACGGTTATGACTAACTTTTCTACAAAACACAAACATAATTATCTTTTCCAAAATAATAGAACAAATTAATTTCACAAACTGCAGTGCCACTGTATATAGATCACCCTTTGATCATAGACAATTTATTTTTAAATTTAAAAAATAAAGAAAATAAAATACAAAATTTTGTAGACTTAAAAATAATGTTAAAATGGTAATAAGGAAAGCTTTAAAAATTTAGAAGAGAACGAAAGTAAAAAACATTATAAAATCGTTAGCTGGAGCTGAGGGTATTTTGATGAAATATGGGAAAGTATGAATGACAATATGAATGAAAGAATTAAAGAGTTAATGAGCATCCAATTTAAGCCTTAAAAACAAAGTCAAATAATAAACGTAAGAAAACAATCCAATAGAAGTAATAAAGAATGAAGCAAAAATAAAAATTACTGAAAAGAAAAACTCCAATTATAAATCAAAAGGATGAACAATGTTGAAAGTGATTTCTTCAGAAAACCTAAAGCAACTCCGGCAGTACTGCTTGGGGAAAATAATAAAAACACAAATTCGCAAGGTCAGAGACGTACGAACACGCGAAGACACGATGGTGGGTGGGGATGTGGCTTAGAAGTGCAACGCTTGCGTGTGGTGCAGAGGCTTTAGGGTTTGATCCCCAGCAATGAAATCACCACCATCACCATCGTCGTCATGATCATCATCATCTGAGCAGCTTTATGTAGTTGAGTAACCTCCTACATAATATTCTACAAATCTAAGTGAATAAAATGCGGAGAAATAGAAAATGTTAATAAGCCTATGATAATTTGCTAATAGAATCAATAGTTAAACATCTACTCACACTCCTTACACAATTAAGAACATCATACA